TTTATATATATAAAATTATATGACTAATATAACTCCATTAAATTATATCACTTAGGGTTCTGAAATGGAAGGAAGGCTTAGGTGAGGTACGAATGCCTAGGGAGGTACGAACCCCCCCCCCAATTCAGGAACAGAACATTCTAGTGCATTCTGGAACATTCTGTTCCCCTTTGGACCATACCAAGTCTCCTTCTGGACTATGCTGTTCTGGAGTGGTTCAGCACTTTCCAGAAATAACTGCTTTGAACCAGAAGCTGATTGAAATACTCCAGACATGATGCTCCAGATAAAATAGGCGTGAATCAGTGAGGTTTACAAATCCCTACAAATCACAATTTTTTGTGAAAGGTAATATTAAGAATTTTTTTTTTTAAAAGAGGTAAGCTGGGAAAAAGAAAGAAACTCTGCAGTTTATATATTTTTAAACAGTAGGACATAGCTCAAAAGCTTTGAAGGCTACCCATTCTGGGATGAATTTTTAAAAAGGAGATAAGCAGGGAAAGGTGAAATCTGTCAGTTTATATATACAAAATGACTTAGCTGAAGAGCTCTGAAGACTACCAAGCACTTTCAATTTTTTGTAACTGCATAAGCCCCACAGTGTTTGGTTAGTGTTTCATAGCGATATATACTCACTGGTATTTGATGTCCCTGCTCTTCTCTTAACTGGAGGCAATATTGGCATCCACTAGACTCGGGTACTTTTCTTTAATAGCTGGGCACTTGACAGGGCTCTCTTTCTAGGAAAATTCTAGCAGCCTTGCCTGTTGTCCTGTCCACTGATTTTCCTGCAGCTTTCCAGTCCTCTTCTGCCATCTTCTGTTGGAGGGTTAACTCTTGTTTTTACTTGTTTTATTACTTTATTCACTAGATTCCATTTGGACTTGTTTTATCTTACTTATGAGTGCATTAGCTATTATTATGTACTTTTTGCTAAAACAGTTGCAAATGTTTCATTATTTAAAAAGAACTGCTTCAAAAGATAATGCTTAAACACACTGAAATCAAGACAATCTTATGCTTTGCAATGATGTATGTGCCAAATATCCTTAGTCGGTACTCAACTGACTTAACTGCTGTTGCAAAGCAGGAAAAATTTATGCATTTCATTACCTACTTATCAATAATAAAGGACAAGAGAAGTATTGCACCTTTTAGAATGTTTTTAATGTCCTTTCATTATTTTTGTGCCACCGTGCTTACAAAAGGGTGCATATTTTTTACTGCTAAGATAACAAGAGAAAAAATGTTCCTTTGATACCTGTAGGTCATGCTTCTATATATCAGCAAAGTGAAAAGTGTGTAACTCTCATCAGCCTTATTTCCTGAAAGCAGAGGGCAAGAAAAACATGGAGCTAACTCTATTTAATGAACAGCAAGTAGAATTTAAGTTTGCAAACTGTGTACCTTTGTCAAGATGGGAATGTAAAAGAATATACCATACATTATTCATTTTTTTATAGAGCTAAAGTGTTTTCTATTATATTTGCCCCAACCATACCAAGAAGGCTAGGTTCCAGGATGTAATTTTTTTTAATTTAAAGAGAAGGAGAATTACATAGAGGCAAGATAATTCCAGTTAGACTAATACATCAGTAAAGTAGAGACCTAGCCCAGGTTACCTCCTTTAAGCCAAAACTTAAAGCCAAAGCTCTTTTGTTTACAGTAAAAAACTTATATCAGTTACTTCAGTGGCAGGCAGAGCAGTGGGGGAAAACACAACGATGAACAGGCCCTCCCTTCTTCCCATAAGGAAGGCATGGTGACGGAAAGTTACTTCTGCAGCTTTCTCACAAAAAACAACTCTCAGCTCCACAGGCCAATTGCCTTAATGACAGGCATAAAAAAAGAAAGGATCCTTTCCCCCCATCTGTTTGCTGGAAATTAACAGATGCGTGACTGTCTAGGAAGATGTGGCAATTTGTCTCCTTTTTGGTTACTGTGATCAGCTGCAGGTTACCTTCATCCAGTCTTCCAATTTAATTTCAAGCAACAAAATACATAAATGCAGTCAAACTCTAAGAAAGCCTGGAAATATTCTGATCTACGATTGCAGTAAAGCTACTGGAAGCCTTGACTGAAGAAGCGAAACAAGTTGGCAGCAGCAATGAATGAAGAACAGCCTCATTCACTTTGAATACTGTGGCACACAGAGAACATCACTAACCGAAAGCAGATTTAGGGCAAAATGTGCTAGCCACTACATTGTCAATAATTTCATTTCAAATGAGTAAATGTCAGCAAAAAACCCAGATGTAGTTTAAAAAAAAAATTGGAACCTGGCCTATCTAAAATGTGTACACTATGAAGGCAAAAACATTTTCCAGACCCTTCAACAAAGCTTGCACACTCCTTCTAGCCTTCATTCACACATCTGTTTTCCTAGTCTTTCATTTCTCTCAGAGGTGACCATGGTACAGTGCTATACTTTCACTGAAATTCACCCTAACCATGGTTAATGGTGAAAAACTACACAACTGCTACTTGATAACATTAGTTACACTCTTTGGGGGATCCTAGCTAATGGATACAAAACAAATCATGATGTTCTGCAGAAAAGGCATGATGATCTGAGACTTTATGAAAGGGGAAATCCCTTTAATCCCTTTAAGGGTCTGAAAGTTTTAACACAGGATATATCAAAGGAGATTCTCCAGTTTTCAATACAGAAAGAAACAGCTGGAGATGTGGTGACTTTTTCAAGGTTATACTTTGTCACCATGTAGGCCAAGAGTTGGCAACATTTTCCAGAATGTGAGCTACATTTGTTCTTTTGACTTGTATACTATGTAAATTATTATTACTATTACTCATTTATAGGACTTCTGGTTTGGGCATGGAGTCCACCACAACACAATTCAGTGAGCTCCTTGGTTTTTAAATTGTATAATTTATCTCCCCCTTTGGACTATACTTTTTAATTCTCTGTGAAGTTCTTAGCTTGAGCTGCAAAGCAGAAAGAAACAGAAAATCCCTGCAAATAAAAATATACTCAGTATCAGCACACCCAAAGGTCACAATTGGCTTTACACATATGGGCTAATAACTCATTAATATAACTGCTAGTCAGTATTGGTGTTTTTTCTAACACTTAATTTCATAAGCAATCACTTAATTTCTTGACTAATTTAAACAACTCAACCTCTTCAGAAAGGAGTAGCATAAAAATCAAATACATCCATAGTTTTGCATCACACTCTCAGAGCAGAATACAAGCCAACCAGATAGGTAGGCAGGTAAGTAGACAGATAGACACACGAACAAATAGAGATTTGAACAGCACTCTGTATGACTTGTGTCAATAACAGCTTCATGTCTGTGAGCTACCCCTGGCTGGAGATAGAGAGAGCTCTGATACCCTTCACATAGAGAGAAGCAGGAAGGTGGAACAGAAGCAGCAGATATGTGGGAAAGGCATTCATTCCCCATTCAGTGGGGAATTTTTATGTGTCCTATGGAGGAGGTGATCAGAATGAATTTTTCTGGATATTAAGGCTGGATTGTAATGGAATTTTAATGGAAAGGCATTACAAAGGATCAAAAGACAAGGTACAGCCCTGACTTTTTTTTTTCTGAAGCCCCAGTTTGGAAGGTGGGCAGTTTTATGACATACATCCCTCTTCCTCTCATAACATAACTGCAGAATGCAGCAGCCATTGTATAAGTATCTGTTCTTGATCTTTTTTAAAGACAAATTAGCAGCATAATTGTGTTAGTTACTTTATGTCACAGTTTGGGAGGTGGCTTTCAGGTTGATGCAAAAGTATCCTAAAGGCCATGTGCAGGCTACAGATTGTCCTCCCTTGTTTAGACAATGCAGCAGGCATCAAAATGCCACTTAAGATGACTTGATATAGGCATCCTTCAAATAGGATAAAAATCTAATGTGACATTACCTTTAATTGGTTAAGTGCAAAAGGAGATCCATCTTTCTTCAGGTTTTGGATAATTTCTTCCATGCTGTTTGCTGAAAACAGACTGAAAAGAGAAAATGTTCTTCAGTCAAAATGAGTCATATTTGAGAGGGAGGAAAGTGCTGTAACCTATGATGAGCAATAGGTACTTTACCATACAAAAAAGCCATACAGTAAATGTATGTAAAGATATAGTACCTTTAAATTAAGATTAAAATCTGAGCAGGACACCTGAATTTTCCCCTAGCCATTATGGTAGAACTTCAGTAAAAATATAAAATCTAAAATGTTTTAAAGTGAACCACAGAACCACAAATTTTACATTTTGCAGAAGCTTAAACTACACCTCAATCTCTGAACTCCCAAACCTCCAGGGCACCCATTTCATATCTTGCCTCCCTCTCCCTACAACCTCCCCCCATGCCCCCCCAAAAAGTAAAGCTCTAACTGCTCCATCAGATGGAAAAGTGTTGTCCACCCAAACTTCCAACATTTTGCATTGAGATAGAAAGTGCTGTTTCTTCCCGTAAATATTTATTTGCTAGCATATCAGATTTTTTTTTTAACTTCCTTTTTAAAAATTCCTACAGGCAGTCGAGCTAAGATATAGTTATTACTTAAGAAGCAGAAGTTATTGCTGGGATTGATCACTTCCTTCTGTTCATTAAAAAAAATAGTTGGAGTTCCATGATATGCTAGCATCTTGCTCAGAAGTACTATTCAATAGACCACTACATTTAAGCAGTTTGAAGAGTATACTCTTCTGCAAATTATGATTGACAATTCAGCCCCATATGGAGCCACAACTATTTAAGTGCCACTTAGTCAGGTCAACAAAGTGATGATGATTTAAATTTATATGCTACCCAACTCCCAGCAACTCTGGTCAATTTACAAATTGTTAAAATCATTTAAAAACAAGGAAACAACACAGAACAAAAGGAACAAAGATGGCAGGGAATACAAACCCAGATGGGAAGCTTTCAGAACATCTAGCAAGCCTACTAGATGTTCTGAAAGCATCAAAACAAAAGGCTAGTTGCGCTTTCCCACTACTGACTGCACTAACTGACAAGTACCTGTTAATTTTGTCCATGTGTTCACCAAGGACAAATTCTTTTTCTTGATCAAGTTTGCACTAAGGGAAAAAAGATAACAAAACTCCTTTCAGTACCAAATCAGTTAAAATGGTAACAAAAAGCAAAGGCGATGCTATTAGAAAAACTAATAATTATACTCAATAGCTCATTTTTACCTTTCTCATCTTAATCAGATTAGAAACTGATAGTTTTTTTAAAAAAATGTTTATTATTCTTAATCTCTGATCTGCAGGAGGCATCCTTGTGCAATCCCAGTGATATACTAGGGAGCATGTTTATGCTAGGCCCTTGAGTGTTCCTTTCAGGTGCAGATTCCAGATATCTTTAAAAAATACTGCAGATAAAATTTGCACAAGGACTTAGTGCTTCTAGAACAAAAAAGAAGCCCCTTCATATAATACTACAGCTATATTCTATAATTGGTTGAATCTATTCTGATGCACTGTGTAGAAGACATCTAGCCCCCAATGAATGAGAGGACAGAATAATGCTAAGACTACATCCCATAACAATGAATGTTATGAGACAGTAGTGTTGTAAGCTGCAAAAATCAAGCTGACTATTTGATGGCAGCAAAGAGATACTGAAAACTCTAAATTTTTGCTTCCATTTAGTGGTCATCTGGATTTCTGCAGCCCAAATATGTAGCCCTAATTTAGCATCTTCAATAAAAAACTAATGAGAAGCCCATATCAGGCACAGAAAATCTGTGGCCTTTCTGATGTTTCTCAACAGTCCCACCCAGCATAATGAGAGATGCTGGGAATTGTAATTCAACGTCATCTGACAACCACTGGTTCCTTTCTCCAGCTCTAAGTAAGTCCAGAGCAATGTATACAATAATGCAGTGTTTCTTAAAGGGTGGCCCTAGGACTTCTGGGGTTCCCCCAAAATCCTCTCAGGGGTCTGAAAAATCAAAATTATTTGCCAGTCTATGTTGAAAAATAATACAATATTAAAATCCCATACCATGGGAAATGGTAGCAGCAGCAAATGTATCAATTTTAATTTTTAATACGGTAAATATTGATAAATATAATCCATACAAACAAAAGCTCTTTTGGGGTCCTCCATAATTTTTAAATGGGAAGGGATCCTGAGAGCAAAAAGTTTAAGAAACATTGCAATAATGGGAAACCTATTCCTTTAAAAGCAAACACATCTAAGGATAAGCCACCCAGGGGATAGAAAAATTGGAAAGAAAAGGAATTCTACATCTGATTGTGAGAAGAGATGCACTTTCCAAAATTCTTCCTTCTAATTTTTCAAAATTTAGCATCCAGCCATCCCATCAGAGGACTCTCCTATCTACCTACAATAGCCCACATTGGAAAGGAAACTGCTTAGACACATTTTGATGATGAGAAATGTCAATGTGATGACTAACAGCTTGCCTGCAGATAAGAATTGTCTGATTTGTAGTTCTTGACAAGTTACATGCCATGTATCTGTTATATGAACATGTCTGGAATACAGTTACATTAGCTACAAATCAGAACAAAAGGCCCAACACTAGTATCTTGGACACTCCACGGACTGTTTCCACTCCATTAAGTTTAATCTTTGCAGATCATCATACCCTCCCCTCTTTGCGAAAACGTCTTGCCGTGGACATAAATTCAGTCTTCTGCTGACTGAGAACCTGAGTGCTGAAATCTGTGGCCAAACTGACAAAGTATAAGAGAGAAGCACATGATTTATAGCTCAATTTCTGTCCGTGCACAAGTTTTCAAGCAACACAGAGATGAGAGTCAACCATAATCTTTTTTTTCCATTTAAAGATGCATTCTGTGCATTTCAAAAGCCTGCATAACTTAAAAAAATAACATCTTACAGAGAAGAATCCTCCATATATCTATTTAAAAGTAAACCAATGAGTTTGGAATTAGAATTACACCCTGGAATATATATAGAATGTAGCCTTACACGGTTCTAACAGAAAAAGAGCAAACATCCTTCTAAGCACCCCATGTAGGAATAGCACTGAAACAGCAGAAGAGCAATTATTTGGGAACAATGTTTTATTTGAAATAAAGAAAAGTACATTGAGAGATCTTTTACACTGCTGCCTAAATCAAGAAGGAAACAACCTCAAACTTTAAACCCAAAGGAATAATTCAATAATTCAAGGTTTTGTTTACTTCAAGCATTGCACGCTAAGCTTGTTATTCCAAGCAACTGCATCATTCAGTTCCTGATTAGACCGCTGATCATTATTTCAACACTTCTTTGTGTTATACTTTGAATTTACAACTTTCTAATAAAAATTAATTCAGAATTGCTTCTACTTTATCTAATTTTTAAGAATCAGTGCATCCATCAAACTAAATGTTGTATATGGATATTAAAAAAAATTAATGGGACTGTACTGTATTTGAAATTTGTAATAAATATGTTTATGTATTGGTTCATATCTTGCTCCAATCGCATCTGATTCTGAGCAGCTTACATTACTGTACATTAATGTAGTGTGTACAGTACACACATTGAGTAGTGTACTGTACATTACATTACACTACTCAAAACAAATTACATATTTAATTCAGTAATTCACGTAAAACAGAATACAGTACACAGAATATAGAAACCATAACGGAATAGAATCCAATAAACTATAATGAACAACAAAGTTCAAATCAATTACAAAAACCTCAGCACCAGGAACAACCCTTAGCCGCATATTGTAAATGTTCCCTTGCAGGAAAGTTCTATTCATCCATCAGACCCCAAAGGCTTGTTGAAACAGCCAGATTTTAATGGCTTTAAAAAACCCCAAGAGTGGTGAAGACAGTCTGATCTCTATTTGGGGGGGGGGGGAGAGACTATTCCAGAAAAGGGGGCAGTGCAGTTCCTGCAGATGGCATTCTCTAGGGGTGGGGACCTGAAGGAGCCTTCTCTTCTAGATCTTATCAGGCAGAAAGTGGCCCCTGAGAGAAGGTGTTCTTGAAGATACCCAGGTCTTGAGCCATGAAAGCCTTCAAGATGACAACCAGTACCCTAAAATGCACCTAGAACCACGCTGGTGATCAGTGTAGCTCTTGAAGTAGTAGCTTTACATGCCACTTCATTTTCTATATTTGTATTTGTATATAATTAGCTTATACACAGAACTCTAGGCTATTTTAGTGTATGAAGAGCAGGCTTGCCAGACTTAGAACATTCCTCTGCTGCACACAGACCCACCAAAAATTAAAAATGAAGACAGGCTTTCTTCATAGAGATGTGCTTTTGTATACAAAGATTCCCTATTATGAAATCTACTATATATTTAAATTTCCATTTACCTTCTTATGATATGAATCCAAAATATCTGCAACATTTGCTTTTGAGGGGGATATTAATTCTGTCAAATCTTTTTCAAGAGCAACCATCTGCAAATAAAAGAATACTTATAAAAACTATACACATCTATTGCCAAATGCATTGTTTCACAGGATACTGCTACAATTTGAAATCTTATCAAGAGATCTAACATTCAAACATTTAAAATAATTAATGAGGGAAAAAATAAAAAGCCCAGAATGTTGTTTAATACAGGCCTTAATATTATCCAATCACATTTGTCAGGAAAAGTGAAGTAACTTTTCTTGATGTCAAAAGAAATTCCCCAGTTCAATAAAGAGTTCCGTTCTGAAGGTCTGTCCTTAAGTCGAATTCATATGTAAACCAGAACAGTATGCATTGTATAATACTATATAAGTAGTATTGTATAATGAACTCAAACTATTGTGGAATTAACTGGAATCATTGTGGATTTAACTCGAATTTTGTTACAATAGGCTCCGTTCTTAACTATGGGTTGTCTGTAACCCAGGCATTCTTAACCTGGGGACTACCTGTACCTATAAAACAATGTTATACGAAAAACTTGGCTTTTCCTTTTTTGAACACTGAGCCTTTTCTCTACAACGTTTTTGAAAAATTATAAGCTAATTATAATTTCACACATGATTTCAAGACTGATGCTACAAAGGATACAACAGTTCAAGACCTTGGGGAAACTAGTTCATCTTCATTCTTTCTCACTACATTTTATAAAAAGGGAGGGGGAAAGGCAACTGAACTTTGGGGTGTCTTTGCTTTTTTTTAAAGTTCCGTCTGCAGGTGGACCCTAAGGGAGAAAGCAAAGAAAGACCTTCCAACAAGGGCACAGACTTCTGAGCAGCCAAACTACCTTACAGTAAGATGTTGTGAAGTCCACTGCATTGTATCCTACCCTGGTTTCTATCAACTAAGGTAGGGCTTCCAACAGAGGAATCTGTCAGTGAAAGACAGAAATGTCTTTCTTCTCGTAGCTCACAGCCTATTTTCCAAAGGATCCCCCCGGCCTATGGAACAGATGTTTGGAGACACAAAAGTAGGGCAGGGAGAGGAGAAAAATCCAGTAAAATCTGAACACAAGGTATTGAAAGCAATGGGTTTACATGTACTTAGCTCTGATTTGGGAGGTGGCCTGGAAATTTACTCACAGGATTACAAGAAAAAGGGAGAACCTGAACAGAAATTGCACATGGTTGTCTAAAAATATTCCTGTCTTCCGCAAAACCAGGGCTAAGGAACTACTGGATGCAGTATAAGCAGTTGTCTACTATGGCAGATTTACCTTCTCTGCTTCTACAAAGTGAGTTGCAATTCCTGCTGTGTGGACATCTCTTCCTTTCAGCCTAAATCCTGTAAAAGCAAGAAAATAGCCCAGCTTCCCTGGAAGCCTTGGCAAGAAATAGCCTCCGCCCACATCGGGGAAAAGACCTGCAATTAAGGAAAAAAAGTTATGCAAGATATGAAAAAAAGCTGCATAATTAAGACTTAAGTGCCTTCCCTCCACCCCCCGCTCATAACTACACCTTCTAGGTGGGCTGCTTTGCTTGAAAACGAGCCCTTTGCCTGTTTTGCTCATCTTCCAGAAAGATATGCTACCCCATTTTTGCCAGCAAATTTTCCTCAGAATTCTGCTGAAGTTGATGGCCATAAAGAGGAACATTTTTCTGTCTTTTAACCTGAAGAGCTTATGCGCATTGTTGTGGGGCACAAATATTAGTAGCCACATCACAAAATAGAGTTTACTGCAGATCATGTGTAAGACACTTTCCTTGAAGTTTGTATTCATGTGAATACATCTTTTAAAAGCTGTCCTCAGATGGTATTATAGTGGAAAATTATGTTCATATACTAGGGGCCACTGGATCTTTTTCTTTTGTCAATGGAAAGGTAGTTCTCAGAAACCAAATCCATGATAATATTTTTTTCATACCATCTATTTTAAAAGCCTTGTGCTTAAACATTTAGTCAGTATGAGGAGTCTCAGGGTCAAATAAAATGGGACACCATGGATTGCATCCAAATCATATTTCTAACTTATCGGAATCCTGGGAAACTGGGTAGTGAACAAATACAAAAACAATCAATATCCAATCCATTGGTTTTATGAATACTGGGGGAGGGGGTGACTGGACCAGATTTTGGCACATATGTTAGGGAGACCCTGTGTTCCCATGCTGCAGTCCCCAAACTGAACAGCTCGTTTTCACATCCATATTGGAAGAAAAGTTTTCTTAACATACAAATAGTTAGCCTTAACCTCTGATATGGATTTAAGACACAGTGGTGATAAAACGTTAATGGAAGTTCTAATTAGTGTCTCTATCCAAATCAGACCTAACCACCATGCCACAATTTACACCCCCAGAACTGCTACTTGTTTAGCCTTTTGCAGTTTTTAAAAAAAGTCCTGTCTAGGGAGTGTCTTTCTAAAGCAGTTTATTCACTGCAAAGGTATTCCTGTTCTGCCCACCCTTGGATTTATTTCATTAGATCTTTGAAGCCAGAAGTGCAAGTTCAACAGACACCCTGGAATGACAGCTACACAGATAATGCTGTGAGATCAAAACATTACGTTTGATTAGTGTAATCATCCACAAGCATTTGGCTTCCTCTAGCTTCAGTTCATCAAGTTGCTCTTTTTCCAGATATTCTACTGATGTCCCAAACTTCTCCCCATGAACTGAAGGATTACTTGTATTCATAGAATGAACTCTGAAGAAATAGTTCCCAGCCTGTGGCCTCTGGAATAAGGGCTAAAATAATTTCTAAAAATGAATATACTATATTTCTGGAGATCATCAAATCTCACAAGATGTTTGTATTCTTAACCTAAATGTAGTGAGATTTCAGATGACAGTAACAAAATCTGGCAATATATTTCCTTTTTTTTAATTAACAATTTTTCCCAAAAAGATATTTTGTTTTGTTTTTTCATTTTGGGATCCTGTAGACATTATGTACTATATCATTGCCCCTTAGTTAATCTGGTAGTCATCCTTTGATGATGATGTCCTGATTCTACATAAAAGAAAAGGTTAGGCAATTTTTGTCAACTTGCCCTTCCATCTATTGCTCTGCTCAGATTTCCAGAATAAGCAAAAGGCTGCAGGAGCAATTCCCCCTTTGCTACCAGAAAGCATACCTCATCAGTGGAAATTAAGATCAGGAAATTAAGGTCAAATCATTACTGTTATTCACATGTTATCCAATGTTTTCTCCTGTAAATTTTAAGTGGTATACATGGAAGTGAATGATACTTCTCACAAAGACCCTCTGTGGGATGTTAGTGTCAAAGTGTATGACTAGATCAATATTACTCAATAAGTGTCACAACAGCACAAGAACTTGAATCTTCATATCCCAGCCAGTACTGTAGCTTCTGCTTCTCTATGGAAAGTCAATATAAAATACAATATGTGGTACTTACCTATTGCTGTCTCTGGCATTGCAAAAACGGTCCTCTCTGTAGCAACTCTGAAATGCCCATGGACAGACAAGCCCACACCCTACCAAAAAAAAAAAAAAAAGGGAAAGGAAGGAAAAGGCATAACCTGTAATAAGTTCTGGTGGGTGCCCTAGTAGCCAGATTCCTGTTGTAGTCTATACTTAGGCCTAACCACTTTCCCCCTTCTCTCAATTTCTCTAACAAAAGACCGCAACCATATTTATTGGTGCTACAAGACTTAGGCAGTGCATTGGTCAATCATTTGAAAAGCATTTTAAATGACTAAAAAGCTGTGCTTGATTTAATTAAGCAGCAGATTTAATAAGGTACTTAGAAACCTTGCAGATGTTAAGCACTACCTTAAGAGGCCTTCCCTCATGCCCTATTTAACATAATGCCAGCTGCAATGTATACATACTTCTTGGAAGCACATCAGTTGTGCTTTTATTATTTTATTTATTTGTAAGATTTACATCCCATCTCTCCTCCCAGTACTCAAGACATCCTACTTGGAGATCTCTCTGTGTTTTATCCATACAACAGCAACCTTCTTCTCAGGTTACCTCAAGAGAAAGTGACTGGGTCCATGCGATCCAGTAGGTTTCCATAGCTGACAGTGGGCTTGAACCTGGATCTCCCCATTCCTACATCACTGCCTTAACCACCACACCACACTGGCTGTCAAACCACTTCTTGTTTCAGAAATATAATTTTCATTCATTCAGAAATTTAGGCACATTTAAAAGCTTTTACAACTAAAGCTTACAATAAAGCATATTAAAAAGTCCTTTAATTTGATCATACCATTTTTTTCATTTCTGGAAACAAACCCAGTTTTTCTCCCCCCAGATCCCAACATTTCTCATCAGATATTTCATGCAAGTAGAGAAAGCTGCAGGTGTTCCCTCTCATACTTTTGAACATGCGTGTTCAAAAATATTCACTATTCAACATACTGGAGAGGTCAGAAGTATTTGGCTCATTCTCTCAAGAACAGGAAAACACTGAGCCCAAAAAGGAGTGTTTAGACAACCCATTTTTTTCAGAGTCAGGAACTACCACTTTTTGCACCTGAGGTAAGGGCCTCCCCTTCTGTAAGGAACAACTTAATCTGTCATTGTCGCTAATAGTTTTAAGGAACAATTCCAAGAATGAAATATGAAGGGGCATAATCCAGGAGTAGACAACTTGTGGCATGCCAAGTATTTCTGAACTACATCTCCCAGAATCCCTCACCACTGCCCATGCTCCCTAGAGATGCTAGGAGTCGTAGTTCAGCAAATATTTGGAGTGCCACAGACTGACTACCCTTGCCTGACACCAAAGTGCATCTCTAATGGATTATCAGCTTCGCTGATTGACCTTCAAAATTACAATAAAATGCTAATTAATTTATTTAAACCGTTTCCTAGCAGGGCATCACTGTTGGTAAACCAAATTATTTCAGGAGATGGTTTATTTATTTCAAAGCTGTTAAATGAATCCTTTAGTAGGCAAGCAAAAGGTTCCTCCATATGCATATTGTGCTAACAGAAAAAGGATGTCTTGCTATTCAGTAAGGTCAATTCAGGTAAGGATGAGCTAACTTTTTGAAACATTTAAAGAACAGGCATCAAAAAAAAAAAAAACCCACAAAATGCAAACACAAACCACATTTTTGATCACACTTACTGCTCATTACACGAGAGGAAAAAGCTTTACTGGGACTCAAACATCCATAACACTGGAACTCAAGTTTTAAGAGACACGAAAGCACAGCTCTACCTTACCAAACAGCCCCTTGTTTATAACTTTATTACTAAATGATTCTTTCTTTTATAAATTACATGAAGCTGCAAAAAGAAACATTACAACAGAAAGGTATAGTATAGGTAGTATATATTTTATGCATGCTTGCATCTAATGAGTCAAACGTTTAAGTCAATGAATTATTCAGTCTCTATTTTGTTTACATTTCAGTTATTGACTCAAGCTTCTCAAGTCAGAATTACCTCTATCAGATGCCAACAAACCTCTCCCTTTTTAATATCCAGTATAAAATATACACTGTCACTGACTAGCAAGGCTAGCAATGTTTATTTTTCTTTTTAAATTATTCAGTTGGGGGATTCTGGGGACATATCTGGGGACCCTGCAAATTTCATGGCATTCACTGACATAGGCCAGTCATCTCTCTTGATAAGCTAATGTTTCAAATGTACACAAAATAGAAATGGGGAACAATACTGTAATGACTAAAATGAAGTACTCAATTAGAGTTCCCAAACACAATTACACTTTGTCCTGCCTCCTCCAAAGAAGATATAGCAATGCACACTTTCTTCCATATGAGGTACATTACGACTGTAGCCTTCAGCAACCCTCTAAGGTAGTTTCAGCTGAGACAGAGAGTAGGCCAGTGACCCAACTTTATAACTGATGGGGGATAACAATCTACCTCTTCTCCATGATGACTCTCAAAATACTACTGTAAGGAATATATGATACATGTACTTCATATCTTGTTTTATTCAACCAGCTACTGGATTTCTCTACTCAGAACACTTCCTAACTGGTTAGACTGTAGTGCTTAAGCCCTGAATAGACCTGAATAGACTTAGTATTAAAGTTTTCATACTGAACCAGCAAAGGACACCAATGATTAGGGTGCCGCTTCAAGTGATTTCCCTATCTCTGCCCCCTAACAGTCATTTTAATATATATGGAAAAGAAATTGTTATTAAGCACTTTAAATACTGTTTGGGACTTTGCTTATTAAATCACTACTCTATTCCCCAAAACAGACATTATTCAACACATTTGTTATGCAATGATTAAAATATTATATCCTGTAGGGATGTTGAATGGTTCAAAATGCATTCCAGTTCTGGAAAAAGGTGTCCTTCAACATGAATCCAACTGATGCTGCATTCATGCTTCTGATGCCCTGAAACAAATTTTTAGAATCAAATATGAAGCACAGCACAGTCCTAGGTCCCCGCTCAAAATATGCAAATTTTTTACAGAGTCCTACAATTACAACTTACTTCGTAACCATAGATAAGCAGGAATGTCTTGCAGGTGAGTGACCAGGACAACATGCAGAGAAGCACAAGCAACTTTACTCTTACTCCGCCAATTTACTTTCCAACAGTACTCCCTATAAAGCAGGGGTGGACAATCTTACAATATGGGCTGCATCTCTTCATCATCATCATCACTGTTGTTGTTATCATCATCACTGAAGTCAGGAGGACAAAGATTTGGAACTTTTGATTTGAGAGGGGCTAAGATGGGTTTTAAAGGATAAAATAGGCACCTTAATCTTCTGCAAGATTTATGACACCCATCTCACCATTTAAAACTTGTCAATTCCCCCAATTCCCCAAAAGCTTTGTGCTATAGAGCACAAAAGGAAAAAAGGAGTGCCTCCATCTGCTTTACAAGATGGAGAGCAGTGATAGATGTGTTTCTGCCCCACCATCGTGCTTCCTTGAAGTGTTCTTTAATGATCAAGTTGAACCCAACTTCTGTAAATGGCAAAATGGGTGACTTCATAGACATGTTCGTATAGCTTGCTTGGCAACATTACAGAAGTGGTTTGCCACTGCCTTCTTGTGGGAATTTTTTTTCAACTTCCCAATCTAATCTACAGCCCTGGGATTCCCTGGGGTCTTCCATCACAGTTCCACCTGAGCTTTTTGAGATCAGCCAAAGATGGCTAGCTGCTGCCACCTGCTGTTTTACAAACTAATGTCCATGTTGTTTATCTTTCCACACTGGCTGCAGATGCAAGCATTCGGATTTTTTCTGCAGCCAGCAAGGAAACGTAGGCTACTAGCCACTTCACAGACATGGCTTTTATAGGCTTACTGAAATGTTCCAGTGTTCCATTGACCATTTCCTTGAGCACCTTCTCAATTATCAGGAGTTACTGTGGGATAACTCAGGATTAGCTACAAAACTATCTGTACCATTTATCTCTGGGATTATGTCTGCAGCCATCTGACAGATTCAGAAAGATTCCATTTTTTTTCAGTCTTAATTCAATGCTGCTTCCAGTGTTTCCAGCCTTTACAGCTATCTGACAATCTCACACAAATACCACTGTAGAGGAGAAATTTAGATTGCCCTCAACCAGGTAAGGTGTTTTGGGTTAAGAACCAAACTGAATTCTCAAAACAAAGAGTCAAGAAAACAGTTGGAAATTTCTAGATAGGTACACAAGGTATATATATTGGGAAGGAATAACATAGCAGGCATCACCAATGATTTATCTTACGTTTCTATGAAAGTAATTTCAGACTAATTAGAGATCTTCAGTACAGGTGTTATTGTAAACCGTAGTTTGAAACTACAATTTGGCTTTGGAGAGGTAAAAACTATGTATCATAGGGATATAACAGCATATGATTTGTTCAGTCTTGTTCAGGTTCCAACAGAGCAAACCACACCTATTTCAAAATGAAAGCAAATGTTTTCAGTCTTCTTACAGCTATGCCAAGAGAGGTGACTGTACAAACGCTGCATTGATGGACATAACCCTTTGCTACAGTCTGAAGACAACTAATACTTTACAAATTACATCCCAGGCTAATAAGCATTTACAACCTCAGTGACTGGAAGTCTTCCAGCACTTTTGTAAACAAAACAAAAAGCATATATCTTATTCTGGGAAAGACTGCATTAACAGCTTTTCTGATAAATACAAAAGATTTCCTATAGTAGCCCAACTAATTGTGACCTGAGCTGGTAAGACTTTTATGAACTATAGGAGGACAACACACTGATTATATGCTGAGCTGCATGTGTTATCTTTCATATTAATCTCTATCACCAATCACTTGTTCAAGGCAACTCAATATTCAACACTTATTGAAGGGCTGGCATCCTTCAACTGCATTCTTTCAATGACTGCATTAACTCACAACAGCCCCCTATAGATTATGTATTCTAAATTCCTAGTGAGATAGGCGGTGACCAAATCTGATAGATAGATAGATAGATAGATAGATAGATAGATAGATAGATAGATAGATAGATATTTCTAAATTTACACAGTGCATTCCATTATTTTGTACC